TACTACGCCTGAGAAAAACTTAGTGTAAAACAATGGTATCGGCCAAATAAATAGTAGTTAATAAAGAAAATACATAGGCTTGAATAACCGCCACCGCGGCCTCTAGTAAACTTATAAAAACCATAATTAAAACAGGAAAAATATTTAAAACTCCCGCCGTAGTTAACATATTAAAACCAAACCCAGCTAAAATGGCAAATAATAAATGGCCAGCTGATAAGTTTGCGGCGAGACGGACCCCCAAAGAGATAGCCCTAGATATATAGCTTACTGTTTCAATTATTACCAAAAGGGGGGCCAATCCTAAAGGAGCCCCGGCCGGCATTAGAATGCTTAAAAAGTTCCACTTGAACTTTCAGAGTCCAGCTAAAGTTACACCAATTACAATTGAAAATGACAAACCTAACGTAACGACTACATGAACTGTTACGGTAAAGACATAGGGAAATAAGCCTAAAATATTTAAGAATACTATAAAAATAAAGAGGGAAAAAACAAAGGGGAAGTACTGGGTCCCCGAATTATCTTTTACTAACCCGTGGAAGTGATCATAAATTAACTCCATGATTGCTTGCCATCGGTTAGGGATTAATCGGTCTCCCTTTAACAATATCAGAGCTACAGCCACAGCCAACATCATCATCATTGACGAGTTAGTGACGGCGATCAAATCCACTACTTTAAATTGATCAAAATAAGCAGCACTCATCTTAATTATAGCCCCCTAAAGGGGGTTAATATGTTAAATTTTATCCTGACTTCATAACGAAGCTGGCCCCTTGTTTAAGTCAGATGTTTTAGGGGCCCCTGTCCAACCTGCCCCAACCGATCTTCTGATTAGAAAATTAGTTTTAATAACGGGTAAGACGGAAATTACCAAAAAAGAGAATAATAAAAATAAAGCGATTAAGGTTCATCTATATTGAGTTAAATAAGTAGCAGTTTCCAATTGGGGCATCTTTATTCCTTTTTTTCTTGCAACTTAACCTCTAAGTCAATTAAGAGATTTGATAGCGATCGTTCCTTTTATTCGATAATAGGCCACCATAATTGCCAGCCCAATAGAAGACTCCGCCGCGGCGACCGTCAATAACATAATTGTAAAAACTTGTTCGATTAGAGCATCTGTAACAATAGAATTAATTAAAAATAGAAAAGAGGCAGCTAACAAAATTAATTCTATTGACATTAACATAATTATAAGATGTCCTCTATTCAGCACAATTCCTAACACCCCCAACAATAATAATAAAATAGCTACTATCATATATCTATAGTACATTATTAAATTGGCTCGATCTTACGATCTGTCGGCTAAACGCCTGAATAATAAATTGATTCTTAAGTAATCCTAAAATTTTACAGGCATCCCCATAAGAAGTATCAGAGAAGTCTAACTCTCCGCGCCATTACCCTCTAGGTCTCCAACCATAACTCCTTTATAAAAAAGTGGAGGCCCGATTGGAAAACCCGGTGCTGAGTAAATCTAGCTGGGCCTCGCCCAAACTTCTGGGGCGAGGCTAGGAGGTTGATTTTTAAAAGATTTTTATTCAAAAATTTTTTTCATCTTTTAATTTGTTAAGATCGATAAGGCCCATAAACAAAAGGTAATTCATTATAAGTATGAGACAAAGGCGGGGACGGTTGAACCCATTCTAAAGAGGCCCAACTAGACCCAGTATTCTCTACTCAATTAATAAATTTTATCTCTCGAACATAGGCATCATATACTATATATACAAACCATAGTACACCCACAATTGAAATGGTCGATCCTAAGGAACTAACAAGATTCCAGCCCGCGAAACCATCGACAAAGTCAGAATATCGCCTTGGAAATCCCGCCAGGCCTAAGAAATGTTGAGGGAAAAATGTCAAATTAACCCCAATAAACATCAACCAGAAGTGGATTTTACCATAAAGCTCATTGTAACAATAGCCAGTTATTTTCCCAAACCAATAATAGAACCCACCAAATATAGCAAAAACAGCCCCCATTGATAGAACATAATGAAAATGGGCTACAACATAATAGGTGTCATGTAAAACAATATCTAACGAACTATTAGCTAAAATTACCCCGGTTAAGCCTCCTATTGTAAAAAGAAAGACAAACCCTATGGCCCAAAGCATAGGTGTGTCTAGCCTAATAGCCCCACCATAAATGGTGGCTAATCAACTAAACACCTTTATCCCAGTTGGAACAGCTATAATCATAGTCGCTGCAGTGAAGTAAGCCCTTGTGTCAACATCCATTCCACTAATGTGTTTAAAAACGTTTCAATAAGCGAAGCGTTTTCCAGCCGAGGCTTTCGCCGCGGTTCGGACTGTACCTTAATCCTGAATTATAATTAATTAACTCTAATGCCCGACACCATTTCAAAAAATCAACCCGTTTCTTTGTTCGTAACGAATGTTTTTTAAGAAGGCGCATAGCTCGAATTAAAGCCTTTTTCTCTCTCACCTCTCATATGAAAGTGTGATCCTTTTCATTTTTTCTTATGCTTCCCCCTAATTTATCAAAAAATGGTCTTAAAACAAACCCCTCCGCTTGTAATATGGCTAAGGAAAAACTTATGTCCTTTTTTTCTGGGGCATTAGGGTTATGTTTTAGAGAAACAAGGAAGGCCCCTTTCCCATCCATTAATCCTGTTAACCAAGCTCCGCCACTCGAACATTCAAGCGGGCAAATATCAACTAAGACCTTCCTGTTTGCAACATAATATTTCCCAACCATTGAAAGTTTGACATGGCCATGCCCTAATAGACATTTTATGTGATAGAGAATTTGGGTGTCTTTAAGAGGGCGAGAAATGGAAAGAGAAAGACATTCCGCGCCATGAGGTTTTCGAGCTATTCCTAAGCGGCCCTGGCTTTCAATAAACCCAATTAACCATTGTCAGGATTTCTCGCGTGCAGTCTCTGAGGATCTTAAAATTTGAGTCGTTGTAGTAAACAGCTTAATCCCAATTTTAATTTCCGGCTAGTAAACCCCATAAAAATAAGATTTTAGCTGCCTTAACCTTAGACGAGCACTTATTTTTTAAAAAGGGTTTTTCCAGCATATAGCGAGATAATAAACGAAGACATTGCTGCCTTCGGCGGCTGAAATTTACCGTAAACATGTGATGTGCCCACACAATAAAGCCTAATATTCCAATAGATAACATGGCATATACCATGCCTAAATATCCAAAAATTTGATTTTTAGCAGAAAAGGTTGGTATAATTTGAGATACCATTCCAAATCCTGGAAGAATTAAAATATAAACCTCCGGATGCCCAAAAAACCAAAATAAATGTTGGAATAAGATGGGATCTCCACCCCCTGCTGGGTCAAAGAAAGTTGTATTAAAATTCCTATCTGTTAAAAGCATGGTTATTCCACCCGCTAAAACTGGTAGGGAGAGTAATAATAAAAAGGCAGTGATTAAAATGGACCACACAAATAGTGGGAGTCTATCCATCGTTAATCCCGGGGCTCTCATATTAAATATGGTTGTTATAAAATTCATTGCCCCTAATATAGAAGACGCACCCGCTAAATGAAGACTAAAGATGGCCATGTCGACCGCCCCTCCCGAGTGCGTTTGAATGCCAGAAAGAGGAGGATAAACTGTCCACCCTGTTCCTACTCCTTGCTCAACAAAGGCAGAGCCTAATAATAGTATAAGCGCGGGAGGAAGTAACCAAAAACTAATATTGTTTAGTCGTGGGAAGGCCATATCGGGGGCGCCAATATATAGTGGCACTAACCAATTACCAAACCCTCCTATCATTACTGGCATTACTAGGAAAAAAATCATAATAAAGGCGTGTGCCGTCACTATGACATTATAAAGATGGTCGTCCCCTAACATAGTACCAGGGGCAGATAACTCCAATCTTATTAACATACTTAAAGCTGTGCCTATCATACCGGATCCTATTCCAAACACTAAATATAAAGTTCCGATATCTTTGTGATTAGTGGAAAATACTCAACGAGTTAAAAATTTATTCATAACTCAAAATAAGGTAAACCTATAAAAACAACTGCCAATACATAGAATTGGATAGATAAATATTATGGGCCAATGTCTAAGTTAAGCAAATAACAGAACTTAAGAGATCGAAACCAGAAACATTTTGCACAGCCTCAACCTCAACTACTTCTTTCTCTACTATCATAGAGTTATAGAGGTCTAATGTCATGTAATTTACACTATCTATAAACATGATAAATAAATCCATTTATATTAACTTCCTCACCAATATATACAAATATATAAAAATAACCACACCACATCTACGAAGTGCCAATACCAACTGGCAGCTTCAAAGCCGAGATGATGATGACGAGTAAACTGGTGATAAATCAACCTAACTAAACAAACAGCTAAGAACGTTGTTCCTATTATAACATGCAGACCATGAAAACCCGTAGCTACAAAAAAAGTAGAACCATAGACTGAATCTGAAATGGCGAAAGGGGCTTCATAATACTCCATTGCTTGTAGGCCCGTAAAGATAAGACCTAATATAACAGTCGCGGTTAAACCATTTATAGCCTCAGTTTTTTTTCCACTGATTAGAGCATGGTGTGCCCAAGTGACGGTGGCTCCCGAACTTAATAGAACAGCTGTATTTAAAAGAGGCACTGAAAAGGGATTTAATGGATTTATTCCTTGGGGCGGCCAAACTGCACCTAGCTCCACGGTGGGGGCTATGCTACTATGAAAAAAAGCCCAAAAAAAGGAAAAGAAAAACAAGACTTCAGAAAGAATAAATAAAAGCATTCCATATTTTAAACCTTGTTTTACAACCATGGTGTGAAGACCTTGAAAAGTAGCCTCCCTTATGACATCTCTCCATCAAACTAACATAGTTAGACCAAGGGTTATGGCCCCCATTAACAAAACTCAACTTTGGCTATAATGAAAATATACGACACTACCTACAGTTATAAAAAGAGCTCCGCAAGCTCCTATGTAGGGCCAAGGACTGGGGTCTACTAAATGATAAGGATGATAAACAGTAGATTTCATTTACTTACTTTAGAACTAGGTTTATACACTCTTCATCCTTACCCAAGGGGCCCCTTTTAACGGGGCTCCTGCATAATTATAATTTTACTTTACATCAAACAGTTCAATATAATTTTCACACTTAAGAGGCAATCAGTGATTAACTATGAGACCTCGGACTAAGGGGCCAATGGATCGATCGTAACTTGTAAAAATAAGAGGATCGCTAATTCTTCGGTCCTTTCGTACTAGAAGATAATTATATTGATGTTTCTTCATATTGTAGATAGAAACCAAGCTGTGTTGCCACGCTTTTAACTCAAATCATGTACGGCTTTAATGGACGAACAGACCAACCCTTGGGGGCGGCTGCACCCCAGGGTGCCGCAATTCAACATCGAGGTCGCAAACATCGTCGTCGATGAAAACTCTCTAACGATATAACGCTGTTATCCCCATGGTAGCTTTTATTCGTTGATCGTCAACTATTCCACACTAAGATGACGGGTCACTATAGTCCACATCCCTAAGGACGTGTCTGCTCGAGACGTCCCCCTTGCAGTCAGGCCACCGGCTATTAACTACGGACCTTAAGCTCACCTTCGTTACCTTTTAAAAGGTGGTCGCCCCAACCAAACTATCCAACTTACACTATCCCTGTAATGTTAGCTCTCTTAAAATAAAAGAGTGGTGTTTCATTAACCGGAAACGGATCCCACATTATCTAAACTTTTTATTTAAATCAAATTCTTTTGAGCCATGCAAGTCTTTAGTAAAGCTCAATGGGGTCTTTTCGTCTTACAATATGGACGTAGCATCTTCACTACGAATTCAATTTCATGGAGAGTCCTCTTAAGACAGTGGGGCCTTCGTGACGCCATTCATACCGGCCAACAATTAATTGGCTATTGATTACGCTACATTATCACGGTCAGTGTTACCGCGGCCATTCAATTGCCCTTATGAAGTTGACCTTAGCCAACTCTTTTAGATACAACCATTGGGCAGGCCTCACCCTCCATACTTCAGCATTTAGCTTTAGCAGAGAGCTATGTTTTTGGTAAACAGTCGAAGCCCAGATTTGGCCGAGTTCCTTAAGAGAAGTTCTCTCCTCACTTCACCCCACTTGCGTTAGACTAGTACAGTAAAAATTTATAAATCTTTCCTGGCACTTCGTGCGTTTTTTATAAGACCCATTGACGTAACCAGAGGGTTACTATCTTAGGGGCTGTATAACTCAATTTATAATTGAAGCCTTGGGGGAGTGATCCAACGATTTTTTACTCATGTTCGCATTATCACTTCTGATGGTTGGGCTCTCGCCGAACCAATATTACAGTCCGTTCTGCTACCGAGCGAATAATACTTCGCTCTCAGAGTTTCAGCTCAACTTTAGCCACCATAATTTTAGGGATAAAAGAATTTCTTGAGTGAACTTTTACGTCATCTTTCAAAGATGGCTGGTTCCAAGCCTACTTCCTCATTGTCTAAATTCCACATCCCTTTCACACTTGATAAAAAACTTTGATCTGTGGCTTTAACTTCTGATTAGGGCTTACCCCTTTTGACAATTGACCTTATCGCCCACTGTCTGTCTATCCACCTTAATTTTTTACATTCAGAGTTAATCCCCCTCCGGGCGATTGAGCTTTATCATGTAAAATTAAGTTTCTTGGACGCACTACTTCAATAGTTTTCGCAGAAAACCAGCTATCTCCAAGTTTGATTAGTCTTTCACCCCTAGCCACAGGTCATCCGAGATTTTTGCTACAATCAACGGTTCGTTCCTTTGAACTACCCAGGGCTAGGTCACTTGGTTTCGGGTAATTTGACTTGAAGAGGAGATCTCCCCTTGATTTCACTACACCTTCGTCTCTAAACTTAAGTTTGCCAAATTTTTCCTTGCGAACCCATTATACAAAAGGTACGACATAATATGTCTGCTTAAGGGAACTTATTTTAAGATCTTTTCAAGTCTCTTTCAGCCTTCCTTCACAGTACTCTCTCTTTCGGTGTGCACTAACATTTAGTCTTAGATGTGTAGACACCTATCTTCCACTACTAACTCATTGAGGACTTTTCCGCTTTCGCTCGCCGCTACTCACGGAAGCTCGTTTGATTTCTCTGTGCCAATTGGCTCTGGTACTTAGATGTTTCAGTTTCCAGTTTATTTCTCTGCGTTTCCGCGAAGACATCCGAGTTCAAAACTTCTCCCTCGTCTTTTCGGGCTTTCCGTCTTATTAGTGCACCCTAGCTCGCCATTCGTTCCTCTTTTTAATTTAATTGATTGTAGAGGCAGGAATTGAACCTGCATCTCCAGATGATGAGTCTGGTGACTTACCATTAGTCCACTCTACGAAATCTTTTGATCATGAGTTGCCCCTAGATGGGCCACTTTTAACTAAAAAGTAAAAAATTTTGACAAAATTCATCGTTTCCACAAACTAACCCTGAGAAGAGAGTGGATAGGGCCCCTTTTATGGGGCCCCCAAAAAATCATCCTCAAAATGGTCCAATGCACCTTGGAAAACACTATCCCCTTCTAATCCTTCTATCTCGCGACTCTCGACAAAGCCGCCATCGGGAGGATAAACCTGGGTCTCAGATTATTTGAGAAGGGGAAAAATGCACAACGTCGAGGGGCCCCGCTCGCAAGATAATATTCACTAATTATCGCTTATAATCATATCCCATTAGTAATAACCCATAAAATAAAAAAGTAAAATCTGAAATAACTTAATTAAATTGTTCCAGCTTTATTACCTACCACTCCCCCTTTGGGAATAGCAGGCGGTTTTCAATATATCCTATTAAGGGGGTTAATATTAAAAAGTAAGAGAAATAAAAAACAGAGGCCAATTGTCCCACCAGAATAAAGGGCTCTTCAACAGGCTGAGACCCTATCCAAGTAAGCAACAAGAAATCTGCAATTAAAAACCAAAAGGCAATTCGACCTAACGGCCGGAAGGTTAATCCTCTAAATCGACTACTGTGAAGCCAGGGGAGTAAAAATAATACTAAAAGGCTAGCAAACATAGCTACTACCCCTCCCAATTTATTAGGAATAGAACGTAATATAGCGTAGGCAAATAAAAAATATCACTCTGGTTGAATGTGCACTGGAGTTACCAAGGGATTAGCTTGAATAAAATTCTCAGGATCTCCTAATAAATTAGGGGCCAGGTACACAAGAGAACAAAAAAACACTGCGAACGCCACTATGCCATACCAATCTTTTGATGTGTAATAAACATGGAAGGACACTTTATCAAGGTCCGATCTTACCCCAATAGGGTTATTAGAGCCATCAACATGTAAACAAATTAAATGAACGGCCACTAAAGCCGCTAAAAGGAAAGGAAATAAGTAATGAAGGCTGAAAAAGCGATTAAGTGTAGCATTAGACACACTAAATCCTCCCCACACCCATTGAACAATATCTGTGCCCACATAGGGAATGGCAGATAGTAAGTTAGTAATAACTGTCGCGCCCCAAAAGGACATTTGCCCCCAAGGTAAAACATATCCAATGAAAGCCGTTGCCATTGTCAATATTAATAAAACAACACCAACGTTCCAAACTTCAACTCTAGAATAACTTCCATAGTATAACCCTCGACCAATATGAACATAAAGACATAAAAAAAACATAGAGGCCCCATTGGCGTGAAAGTATCTTAATAAAAATCCATAATTAACATCACGCATAATATGGTCCACTGAAGCGAAAGCTAAGCTTACATCCGCGCAATAATGCATTGCCAAAAATATTCCTGTAGCAATTTGTATAACTAAACACACCCCCAATAAAGAACCGAAGTTCCACATATAACTAAGATTGGCGGGGGCCGGTAAATCAATAATTAGTCCATTTACAATGGATAAGATGGGATTTTGTTTTCTTAATTGCACCATTAACTAAAATGTTCTCGTTAATCTAAATTAGACCTGAGCACGACTAGTTTGAGAGAAGATGTCTTGTTTTTTAGCAGTGGGGCCTACTTCTACCCCAATCTCCTGGGTAAGCACTATTGCCCCAACCATGGCCACTAATAGTATAAAACTGGCTAAAATAAAGAGGTAATAACAATCGGTGTACAATATTCGCCCAATTGCCTCAATATTATGATATTTTTTTAGAAACCAAGGATTAGCTAGGTCCCACGCGCCCAATAGGCCTCTATAAACATAAGGGCCGCCCATGATGAGCCAACTTGAAGCGATAGCCTCAAAAAAAAGGGTTCCAACGGCCAGTCCTATTGGAACATAGTTTGTCATATCTGCCTCTCCCCCCCGTCGAAAGGCTGGAGAAAAGTCTGTTAAATTTAACATCATTATCACAAACAAAAATAGGATGGCTATTGCTCCCACATATATTATTATAAATATCAAAGCAATAAAATCTACCCCCAATAAGATGAAGAGGGCCGCAGAGCTTGTAAAGGCAACTACTAGCCAAAAGACTGAGTGGACAGGATTAAGCGCAGATATAACCATTATTCCAGAAGCAACAGTCCCAAATGATAAGGTAAAAAAACACATCGTAATCATTTGGTTAGGCTCCCCCAGGGATAAACATTATAGCATTTTTAATAGGGTCGATGATTAGAGAGGGCAAAATTCCTAGAATGAAAATTAGTATTACCAAAGGAGATATGGCTAAAAGCTCACGCCTGTTTAAATCTCTTGTAAAAAGAAGATAGTTTGAGGCAGCCCCAAAGCTAACACGATTATACAAATAAAGAGAATATGCAGCCGACCAAACCATCCCGGTGGCAGCTAATACACCAATCACTAAATTATACTCAAAAGCAGCCAGCAACGAAAAAAATTCTCCAACAAAGTTACAACTAAGCGGGAAAGCCATGTTGGTTAGTGTCAAAACCAAAAATACACTAACAAAGATGGGCATGGAAAAAGTTACTCCGCGATAGTACTTTATAAGGCGGGTGTGGTGGCGCTCATATAAATAAGTAACAGCAATAAAAAGGGCTGAGCTCACAAGGCCGTGCGCCAACATCATAAAGACAGCCGCTACTAATCCTTCAATTGTATGAGTAAATAAGCCTAAAGTTACCAGCCCCATGTGTGCCACCGAAGAATAAGCAATAAGTCTTTTTAAGTCAACTTGACGGCAAGTTGTTAAGCTTCCATAAATTATTGCTATAACACTTAACATAATAATAAAGGGGGCAAAATATTCGGTGGCCGCCGGTAGAATTGGCCAAGTAAACCTTAAATACCCATACCCCCCTAACTTTAATAGTATTCCGGCTAAAATAACCGAGCCTGAAACTGGGGCCTCCACATGGGCTTGGGGTAATCAAATATGGAATGGGACCTGAGGGATTTTAACTGCCAAACTTAAGAAAAACCCGGCAAAAATCCATTTTTGAGTGGAAATGGGCAATTCTATGTTTAACAGGGCCTGATAGTCGGTTGTACCCACACTACTGTATAGTTGAAATATCCCCAAAAGCATAAAGACTGACCCAACAAAAGTGTAAAAAAAAAAATAATAAGAAGCTCGTACTTTTTCTTCTCTCGAACCTCACACCCCGATCAAAAGGAACATGGGGATTAATATTCCTTCAAATAATATATAAAACAATAACAGGTCCAGCGCTGAAAAAACTCCCATTAGTAAAACCTCTAAAAATAAAAGACATAATAAAAATTCTTTTAATAAAAATCTTATTGAGTTTCAACTAATCAAAATACATATTGGGATTAATAGCGCAGTTAAAATTAAAAAAAATAAAGAAATTCCGTCAACAGCTAAAAAAAGGGGGCCCCATTTAAAATTTAAAGCCGGGGGGACTATCCACTCTGTTTGATTTATGGTTTGAAATTGGCCCTCCAAATCAAAGGCCGCCCATAAAATTAAAGTGGCAGTCAAGGTTGCTAAAGATCATTCTAGAGCGGTTCTCTTTAATTTTACATTATTCTCTCTCGGAATTCTCATTACGTTAATTATTCCCAAAAAAAGTAAAAGGAAAATTAAACCTAATCAATTTTTCATCTCTTGAAGAAAAGCTTATAAATCAAGTACTCATGTCGGTACTTATGGACTTACTTGACAGGACCCCTCCGATTTTAAGATTTGTTGGCGAAGCGACCTAACCAGAAATAATTTCTTAGGTAAATATAAAACTTTACGTGTAAGCTCATAAGAAGTATTAGGAGAGTGGGTGTTTCCCCCGTATAACCAGAGTTTTACAGCCGTTATAGGCTGAATATATCCTCTACTAAATAGCTCTTCCCGCGGGAGCTTAATCGCAGGGGGTAATTGGTCACACTGGGCTAACTCTTCTTTATTGAAGTTTTTCAAAAAAGTCTCGAAGTTCTTCAGGATCCCTTGGCTACCCTGGCCCTGCCCTTTCGTTTGATAGACTGACATATCATGAAAAATATTGGATTTTGTAATTTTCTTTATTAAATTTAATGCCCCTGGATGATCATAATCGTCAGCGAAATCCAACGGGTTTCCAGTTAGGACTCCTTTATAAAAAAGTGGGGGCCCCCAAACCCAATTTATAGGTATGTCCAAGATATTTTGATTAGTAGGCATAAAAAACCCGGTTGGGGGTGTCAAGAACATGAAAAACTCCGGGCTAACAAAATTGATCCTATCGGGCATTAACTCCAGCCTAGGACTCCATGACGAGGGGGTGTGTCCTACCTTTACTTCGACAGGAAAAGATAGGAAGGACCCATCCGCAAAAGTTATATATAACACATCCTCTCCATTTTTCATGAGGGGGGATGTGACATTTTCTACCTCCTTCCCCATAAATTGGGAGAAGGAGTCTACGAAGGGGTTCGATCCTCGGGGGGAGGTGAAACGTTCTATCAACCACGAACTTGGACGGGGCCCCGTGTGCAAATTTAAATCTCTGTGAACGAAATTAGGGTTATCGAAGGCGCGGGGCTCGGGGGGGGAATTATCTCAAAGTTCCTGCAGGCCCAACGCCTTAGTCTCTCTAAGGTTAGAAAGCGCTATCTCAATTTGTCTTTCCCCAAACATAAGCTTTATGTTGGACCCGAAGACTTTAATATCTGTAAGCTGCGAGGTATCGAGGGGGCCCATGGGAGTCATACTATTAATGCCTATCCTAGTACATTCATCATAGGTAGTAAGGACTAACCAATCGTTATATAGGTGTAAGCCGAATAGTTTCTTTTGATACAGGCCGATACTTTGAAACTTCTCTTCCACTAAGGCTAACTTCGACAAGTGGGCCTCAAAAAAGTTTGATAAAAATAAGAGAGGCTCACAATGCCAATCCTTTAATAGACCTCTAAAATTCTCAATTACGCTGGGCTTGAAAGGAAACAGCCCCGTGCTCTCTAGTTTATAAATTAGAGGATCTATTTCAACTTGAGCCAGAGAGGCCCGGCTGGGAAACCCGGTAGTGAGCCCTTTTACCTCTAAAAGGTATGTCATATTTTCAAAAGGAGTCTGGGCAAAACCTTCTACTATAGACAGAGCACCAACTGAGTAGATCCAGCTGGGCCTCGCCCAAACTTCTGGGGCGAGCTTAAATGAGGGCGCCTCGCTTTGTTCAAAGGACATCGACAGGCCGAAGGGCTCAGGGCCAATTTGATTATACGAAAGGAACTTAAAAAATGTTTCCCCCCAATAAGATATAACTATCGCCCCCGTTCACATTAAAATGAGGGCTGATCAATAGATTAATATTAATCATCCAATACCTTTAACTTTTTTATAAAGAGCAACCCTAAACATTATAAGAAAAAAGAGAATAAAGATAGTTAGTAAATAGTAACCCTTCAATAAATTCATTAAAACAGAAATAATTAATAAACTAAAAGAGAGCCAAGGATAATGCGTGAATAGAACAGCCAAACTCAAAAGCGTGACTTTCACACAAATAAAATTATCGCCGCCTGATTTAACAACAATAAAAAATAAATAACTTATAATAATTACACTAAGTCATTTTCTTTTAATTAAATTTTTTAAGGCTAATTGACTCATCTTTTATTTTAGGCCCCTTGTAACACCCAATTGATATATTTATCTAAAGAAACCGCTTCAATTACGATAGGCATAAAGGAGTGATTAGCTCCACAAATCTCTGAACATTGGCCATAAAAAACCCCAGGTCTTTTTATAAAAAACCCAGTTTGATTTAAACGGCCTGGAACTGCGTCCATCTTAACAGCAAGCGCCGGGACTGCAAATGAGTGTAATACATCGGCCCCAGTCACTAAAACTCGGACATGTGTATTAATAGGAACAACTAATCTATTATCTACCTCTAATAGTCTAAAGTCGCCCTTATTTAAATCGGATGTTGGTACCATGTAGGAGTCAAATTCCAAAGTTTCTGTTTGATAATCCGAATACTCGTAGGACCAATACCATTGATGGCCTATGGCTTTTATAGTTAAACCAGGGTCCATAACTTCATCCATTAAGTACAATAATTTTAAAGAAGGGAGCGCAATAAGAACTAAAATCACAGCCGGAACTATAGTCCAAATTATTTCTAATAAAGTACCATCAACTAAATATCTATGGTAAGCTTTACCACTTAGGGCTTTTAGAATCAACCACAATACTGTTGTAATAATTATGATTAATATAAACATAACTTGATCATGAAAAAAAATTATCTCCTCCATCACCGGGTGGGCAGCATCTTGTAAGCTTAATTGTCACGGCTCCGGCAAATCATAACCAAATTGGTTAATAATTAGTCAATTATTTAATAAGTTTTTCATCGCCCTGAATAAAGGGAATTGATTTTATAGCCTTCCTTAGAAAGAAGGCCGGACAAGGGAAGGTTCCCCTTCCCTCACCATGTTACGACTTGCTTTACCTCGTAGGCATTCATAATCACCGAAGACATCCGAATAACCATTCTAAGTAAAGGTGACGGGCAATTTGTGCTAACACTTGTACCAATTCACCGGAACGCCCTACTTTCCGATTACTATTAAATCCAACTTCCAGTCGTCTTACAGCGACCTTCCGAACTCTTACTTTAGAGACTCACCTTCCAGGTTTCTCATTATATAAGAAAATGTAGCGCATAAAATCCCCCAACATTCGGATCATAAGACCTGACTTCCTCCGGGCAAATGCCCGGGTTGGGTCCCTTCTAGCTTAATACACGAACTTACGACGGCCATGCAATACCGGTCACAGATTCAAGTTGGGGTAAGGTAACACGCGGACCATCGAATTAAACTACACGCTCCTCTAATCGAAATAGTGAACAGCCAAAGTTTTTGAATTTTAATCTTGCGATCGTACTACTCAGGCGGAAGATTTTACCTTTCGGGTCTGCTAAGCATCATCTTCAAAGTTCACAGTGTGGACTACCAGGGTCTCTAATCCTGTTTGCTCCCCACACTCTCATGTTTCAGCCTACCTTGTAGTAAATAGTTTTTACCTTAGGGGTTCTATTTTCTATCCTCACATTCTACCGCTCCAGAAAAATTCCATTTACCTACTTGGATCGTTTCTTGGCCTACACATCCTTTACGCCTTTTTACTTATAAAGACCAGCCCTTAAGTTTAACCGCGTCGGCTGGCACTTAATTTGACGGGCTCAATTAAATGTGTCCTCTCTGTGTCATACTTTCGTTTATTGCACAAGATTCTCTACTGCTGCCTCTATGTGAGTCTTCCCCTTGTTTCAGTGAAAGTGTGGCTTCAGCCAAGCAGCCCATCTTCGGCAAGGTGGTCTTTTACACCACCTTCTACCTAATAAGACTCCGGCCCAGCACCTTGGATTCCGGGTTTACTCACCTGTCTGCATGAGTTGCCACTAGATCTTTAGATCATTGTAGCTACATACTAGCATGTATTAAAAGGGCCACTCGCCTTCTACATTCCCCAAAATCAAAGGACCCATTTTACTTATTTTTTAATATTAAGTGCTAATTTCAAACTACCTCCTCTAGAATAGCCCCACCGTAGCCCAGTGGGCCAATTGTAACAATAAATTCGGGGAAATTATCATAAATCCCATGGGATACAAACTGGCCCCAATCAACAGAGACCTCCTAAAGTTTAGCCTTTTTTTTTCTCTAAGGGTTTTAAGGCCCACTAAGAAAAAGGAATCGGCTTGAAAATAAATAATTTTAACTATTCTAACATAATAAACACCAGCCACCACAGAGCAAACTACGGCTAAAATTGAAACTAAGTAATACTGATAGGTAATCCCAGACAATAGAATTCATCATTTACTAAAAAATCCAATTAGAGGAGGAATTCCAGCAATGGAAAGAAAAGTTAAAGCCAATGTTATGGCTAAAGTCGGCTCTCTTCTCGAAAGACCACTGAATTCCACAATTAGATTTTTTAGACCTCCTAAAGCCAATACGATAGTAAAGGCACAAATAGACATAATGACATATAAAATCATATATATTAAACTAGCCTGCACACTTTCAAAAGTCCCAATCTCTATTCCCCAGAGAACGAAACCCATATGCGCAATTCCACTGTAAGCCAATAGTCGTTTAATTTTGGTTTGATTCAAAGCACCGAGGGCGCCCACCACCATTGAAAATATTACCCCAATCAACAGCACATTAGCCACCGGCCCAATCGAAACTAAAATAGAAAATATCCCAACTTTAGGCACGATCGCTAATAAAGCGGTAGTAGTAGTCGGAGCACCATCATATACATCCGGCGCCCACATATGGAAAGGGGCCGCAGATAGCTTAAACAACAACGCCCCTGTAATTAACAGACCTCCTATAGGAGTTATCACGCCAGAAGTTGGGAAAATTTGACCACCTTCTTGATTGAGCACGAGATCTACACAGGGAATACTAGTTCCTCCCGTTAATCCGCATAAAAAAGCACACCCAAACAAAAATAGACCTGAGGAGAGCGCACCTAACACAAAATATTTTAGTCCAGCTTCAACACTGTACCCAGAACCCCTTTTTTGAGCTACTAATATAAAAAGAGAAAGAGTTGGTAATTCAATAGCCAAATAAACTGATAACCAGTTACTCGCAGAAACCAAAAGAATGCTTCCCAGGGCCACCATTAAAATTAGAACCGGAATAGCTCCCTCCCTCATGGTAGGAGGGGCCATCAATAAAATAGATAAGCTACCTACAAGAATCACCATTTTAGTGGTTGCAACTCAATTATTAATAGTTAAGAACCCATTCTGCCAGGGAAGAAAAAAGTCAATACTCGCTCAATAACTTATAAATAACAACACTAGGAGGGATATTTTTAAAGTAGGATTCTTTACGCTATAAATGATTAATAATAAAATAATTATGCTTAAAAAAAGAGTTTCATTCATCAACCTTAAATTTTATTAACTAAGATCCGATCGGGCCCTATTATTTAATAAGCAGGAGGGGCGGGACTTGAACCCACACTTTTAGCTTTGAAGGCTAACGGTCTACCTTAACCTAACCTCCTACTTATCTAATACCATCCTTCGACGAATTGCCCGGGAAATAAACTGAGACCGGGATAACTTAAAAACTTTAGACGTGATATTCAAAGGGGGGGTCGGGTTTATGCTCTTTCCCCGAAACTAACCAGAGTTTTAAGGCCTTTGGGGGGTCTACCCGACCAGGGCCAATCATAAAATATAAAAAACTAACAACAAGCGATAGTACCTAAAGAAAGCATGAATTAAGGAGGCTTGAGAAAATTCTTTAATTTTATTTAAATACCATAAAACTGGCAATGGTTATAAAAATTATTAAAGCGTAATTATAAACTAAACCAGATTGCAAATTACTTATCTCTTGGGTGAGCCGGATTATGAATTGAGATAATCCTTTGGGGCCTATTAGTTCCAATATCCCCTTATCCAGGGCTCGGAATGTTATTAAATGACCTAGCCTTCACACATTCTGAACCAAAAAATGATTAACAATATAATTAAATTGCCAAGCAGAATATAAAAAGGTATAACCAGCAAGGCCGACCGGCGAGACTGGTGCATTAAAGGCTCGTGAAGAGTAATGATAAAGGAGTATCGCTGCCCCAGCCCCAAAAAGGCTAAAGGTTACAGGCAATAGCTTAATAAAAGTGGGAATAATAGGAGAAAGGGTAATTTGAAACGACCAAATAACCTCTTTGGTTAAATAACCTACAAAAATACTTCCTAAGGCTAATAATATTAGAGGTAGGGTTAAATTTCAAGAACCCTCATGGGCATGTGAAAAAACTTCCTTTTTGGAGTTGGTATTTGATATAAAAGTAAGGTATATTAATCGAAAGGAATAAACGGCTGTTAATAGGGCAGAGAAAACCCCCAACCAATGAGCAAAAGCTAAATAATATTGATCATAGGCTAACTCTAAAATTAGATCTTTAGAATAAAACCCCGTTAAATAAGGGAAGCCCATTAAAGACAAAGAGCCAATAACTATCATAGTATAAGTAAAGGGGATTGATCTAATAAGGCCCCCCATTTTTCTCATATCTTGCTCGTCAGCTAAGGCATGGATCACAGACCCAGCACTCAAGAACAATAGAGCTTTAAAAAAAGCATGGTTCATTAAATGAAACAAACTTATAGAATATTGGGAAAGCCCACAAGCCATTACCATGTATCCTAATTGACTACAGGTCGAATAAGCTATTACTTTCTTAAGGTCGTTCTGTACCAAACCAACCGTGGCGGCCATAAATGCCGTAAGAGATCCAACAATGGTTACGACCATCAAAGCTATGGGGGCTTGCTCTAATAGGGGAGACGATCTAATTAGTAAAAAAACACCTGCCGTCACCATGGTTGCAGCATGGATCAAAGCAGACACCGGAGTTGGTATAAGTAATTGTTACGCCACCATAAATGGTGGGACCGCTACTCTCATAACGGATAGGACTTTTTCTTCCACTTTATAACTTGCTCACTCTAAGGCCCCCAAAAGGGGGACGGTTAAAACTAAAATGTACATTACTACGCCTGAGAAAAAGTTGGGGAGGGTTATTATTATAAATGTCTTCTAAAATTTATCCAAAGATAATTATTACGATGGGGCCCTTCTGTTTCTAATTTCATATCTCTTTTCTCTTAACTCAATGAGGTGATCAATAAATGAAACTTTAGGCAACTTTAAAATTCTCCTTACAATTGTTTTAACTGAGTCCCTGGGCCTAGTCCTATTGGCTAAATGCAATTAGAGTTTTAGGGCCTCATGGGGGCAAATTCGACCTCTTAACCATTCATCGCTAGGGTGTTTACGAATCTGCATTTGATCTTGCGCTAGGGCGGTTATTACGGGTTCTATCTCAACTTGAGCTAAAATAGCTCTATAAGGAGGTCTTAATAAAGAGGGCCTTATCTTTTTGGCGATAAATTTAATTTGTGAGAGGGCCCATATCATTTACCTTTAAAAAATCCCAAATTTAGAACTAAAAGGGGCTTACTCTCATTCTAAGCCACCTTTTAACCACTCATAGACCAAACCTAAAGTTAAAATGCCTAAAAACACAACCATAGTCCAATAACCAAAGGGAGATATTTGATTGTATACAACACATCAGGGAAAAAGGAAAGAAATTTCTAAATCAAAAATAAGAAAAAGAATACCAATTAAGAAAAACCGAATAGAAAAAGGCCGTCCTGGGGCCCCAAAGGGGTCAAACCCACATTCATAAGCCGAGACTTTCTCTCGATCCGGCTGTTTTTCCCCTAAAATATAAGAAGCGCCAGAAATAATCGCAGAAAGAACTACACTGAAAATTAATAAAACCAAAATACCATAAAACTCAGTATACATCCATAGTTAGCTGGGGGGCAACCCATTTAACCCAAATAAAAGGCTAGCCACTAAAATTACAAAAGCCAAACTTAGGGGCAAGTAAGACTTTCATAGTAAAGCCATTAATTGATCGTACCGCATTCTAGGGAAAGAGGCCCTTACTCAAATAAAGAGTAAAATTATAAAAGAGGTTTTTAAGCCAAACCAAGCCGGCCCACCTTTTAAATACACAATAGGAGAGAGCCATCCTCCTAAAAATAAAATTGTAGTTAAACAGCTCATCAATATTATATGAGCATATTCCGCAAGAAAAAATAAAGCAAAAGACATAGAAGCATACTCTACATTGTAGCCCGACACTAACTCCGATTCCCCCTCTGTTAAATCAAAAGGCGCTCGATTAGTTTCGGCTAGCGCCGAAGCAAAAAACATCATGGCCGCCGGGAACAGGGGAAAGAAAAATCAAATACCACTACTTTGAGCTAGCACTATTTCAGTAATATTCAAAGAACCGACACACAAGATGACCGCTATTATTATTAGTCCAATTGAAACTTCATAACTAATCATCTGAGCGGCCGCCCTAATAGCTCCTAAAAAAGCATACTTAGACTGACTTGCCCAACCGGACATCAAAATAGCATAAACACTAATGGAAGATACGGCCAATGTAAACAAAATTCCTATTTTCAGATCACTTATAACAACCCCTCTATCATAAGGAATAACTCCCCAAGCAATTAGGGCTAAAGTAAATGAAAAGACTGGCGCCGCCACATATATAAACAAATTAGCGTAGTGAGGAATCACCAATTCTTTAGTAAATAGTTTTATACCATCAGCAAGAGGTTGTAACAGCCCATAAACACCTACTACATTGGGCCCTTTCCTAGCTTGCATATATCCTAAAACCTTCCGTTCGGCCAAAGTTAAATAAGCCACTGCTACAAGTAACGGAATAACTATTATTAAAATTTTTAAGATTAAATGAATTGTTTCAACGACCATCAAGAAAACGAGCTTTCTCATAAAATTCGGAGTGGATTCACATAAAGTCTCTGAGGTACCAACAGCGAAGAAAGGCATAAGCCCAACCACCTCATAAACCAATTTATTAAGTGGTATTTCTAACTTCTAACTTTGTTACCGGCTGATTAACCCGCTAGGTCTTTTCAGCATATAGTGTATTTATAATCAAGGCTAATTACTTAGACAAGACGGCCCAACGCCAACCTTCCATTGCATCCGGTAACCAAGTGTGTAACCCTAACTGCGCAGATTTACCGACAGCACCTATAAATAAAAATAAACATATTAGGGTGGTGTTATTAGAGGGGGATAGTGCCACGGTATTAAAAATAGAAGCAAAATCTAAGCACCCAAATTGATCCCAAATTGCCAACATAGCTAAGACAAATCCAATATCCCCCACTCGATTAACCAACATGGCCTTTATACCTGCCTTATTTGCCTCAATTCTGGTCAATCAAAAGTTTATTAATAAATAGGAACACAACCCAACACCTTCTCAGCCAATAAAAAGTTGTGGAAGATTATCGCTAGTTACTAATAAAATCATAAAAAATGTAAATAATGATAGATAGGACATAAATCGAGGGACATGGGGGTCACCATCCATATAAGCGGTAGAAAAAACATGAACCAAAGCAGATATGGCAGTAACAACAAGTAACATGGTTGCAGAAAGAGCATCAAATTGTAAGCCAAACCAGACAGTTACTAAATCTGAGTCCAACCACCGCCATAATTTTATATACGCAGTTGAAGAGTTTAATGTAGTTTCATAAAAAATCAAAAGAGACCACGACAAACTTATAATTAAACAACTTGAAGTAAAAATTCCAGCACCCCTTTCACCTAGCTTTCTACCAAACAAACCTGAAATTAAGGCCCCCAAAAGGGGGACAGTTAAAACTAAGATATACAT